CTCTCTCTCTCTCTCTCTCTCTCTCTCTCTCTCTCTCTCTCTCTCTCTCTCCTCCTCTTCTCTCTTGAACATTCTCTCCCTCTCTCCCTCTTTCTTTCTCTCTCTCTCTCTCTCTCTCTCTCTCTCTCTCTCTCTCTCTCTCTCTCTCTCCTCCTCTTCTCTCTTGAACATTCTCTCCCTCTCTCCCTCTTTCTCTCTCTCTCTCTCTCTCTCGCACTTTTCTCATGTTGAGTAGCACGCTACCTTTCATCACTCAGCCTACCTCAGAGCGAACCTGCACCAGCCGAATGGAATGCCGTAATCTTTGGGTGGGTTTCCGCCCTTGAAGTAGGGCTCATCGCCCCGCGCTCTGTAGCACGTTTCACAGTAGCAGACGCTGAGTGCAGAGTTGAAGAACACGTCTGCAACACACACGAACGATCTCCTTCATTTAATTTATTAATTGACTTAATTTATTTATTATTAATTGCCACGTTCTGAATCCATCCCGAATCGCGCCTAAGCTTACTCATTTTACATTTCCCTCTGTGTTGTTCTGATATCAAGGCAGCTATGTATGGTCAAGCACTGCAATGCTGATTCGTATTCAATCAACATTACTTTATTAATATAAATTACACGATATAATCACATTTAAAAAATAATATAATATAGTTATCATGGAAATCATTAAAGAATATTCTTCTCGATGTATAGACGAGCATTTCACGATGACTAACCTGGGATGCCTAGAGAGGCGATGAGTGCAGCACAGGTTTTCATGTATTCACAGTTTTTTAGGATGGCTGGCTCGACAGATGGTGTGATGAGAAGCTTCTCTGTCTTGCCTACGATAACAAATTAAAAAATCGAAAACTTAGATAGATACTAAATGCATGTTACACTGACATACGTTCCTTGACTCACATTGCTGTAGCAGAAACTCATAGACTTATATATATCTATAAAATCTCTAACATGAAAGGAATGTTGATGAAGTTATATAAAAATTGAATATTAAGTATGATTAGCATTATTTTTATAAGTAATATTAATATTAAATATTAAATATGAATACTGGATCAAAGTTACTGCCACAGAGTGACTGCAAGGAGTTCAGTAATTACAGTTCTACGGAATTTGACACGAAATAAGGCGTCACGCACCCACAAACTTATTAACTCAATTAATATTTATTAAATAATGAGAACAGCAATTTTCGTGTTGACTTCCATGACAAACAACTTTGAAAGCTTTGAAGCTTTTGTCGCATCAACATTAAGCATAAAAATTGTATGCAGCATAAATAAATTCTAATTTAACCGAAAATTCGGTTTATATCTAGGATAATAATAATGTTTCTAATTAATACACAAACATACCACTCTCCATGTCAGCTTTCTCCTTGTCTTCCTGTTTCACGCACGCGCTAGTTACTGATGCCACCCCTTCAGCCTCTGCATCTGTTACTATGGATACCTGAAATGTGAGAATGTCTTGGATGATTACAAGTATTTCTACACACTAGTGCAACTAGATCTAACCTCAAACAGTATAGCTACACCATATCAAGAGTGGATAATAGAGAAG